TTCTTATTTACATTTGATTTAGGGCACGAAATGAAGCGCCATCCATCTTAGCCACCAGCAGAATTTATTTTCATTCATATTCCACAGCAACGTTGACAACACAGGCTATGAGAGGAAGGTATACTACACTCCGTGGTGCCGCATGAGCGCCTACATCGTGGGCATCTGGACTGGCTACATCATCTTCAACCAGGGATCAAAGAAACTCGTCTTGTCTCCTGTAAGATGATACAAAAAAGTGTATATAGCCAGCTTTTTGGAGATATTTCACTCATTTCCTGCTTATCCTTATGTTGATTTTGCTTAAGAGTTAGCGAGTAAAATGGTAAATACTTGTATGCTTAAATCCAGGTGCAGGTATTGACGGGCTGGACGGTGGCCGTATTTTCGGCTCTGGCGGTGTTGCTCGGCGCGTGGAGTTACAACCACATAGGAACCACCTATTACTATGACCCGATAACCCAGGTCTTGTACGGCGGTCTCCACAGGGGCGTTTGGTGTCTCGCTCTGGCTTGGGTGGTGGTGGCTTGTCACTTCGGCTACGGAGGTGTGTGCCGTTTTTCTTTCATATGGAAATTCACACACACATATATACATATATATGTGTGTGTGTGTGCGTAGGTGTATATATCCATACATATATATGTATATATACATATATATACATATATATGTACGTGTATATATATATATATATATATATACATATATATACATATATACCTATGCTAATGAAAATTATTCAAGTCTAATAAAGGTGTGACTAAACCCTTGAAACGTTGATGATTCCTGCGAGAATTTTCTGTTTTTTGTCAAAGGAAGAAAGGAAATGCTGCACAACAGCAAATTATTATAAGAATCCATGACTAAACCTTAAGAATTTAAGGATTTACTTCAGAATGGAGTAGGATTCGAAGTCTCGAACAGGACTCTCCGTATGTAAACAGCCACATGGTCAGTCAGCAGAACGACCCCATTATGCCTCTTTCATTGACTTTTAAAGATACAGTTTATAGTTTGTGTTTCTTTTTCTTCTTTTTTTCGCAGGTGCAGTGAATACCTTCCTCTCTCATCCTTCGTGGCAGCCTCTCTCTCGCCTCACATACTGCATGTACCTCGTCGCGCTTCCCATTCAGATCATTCTGATTTTCAACACCAAGGACCTTCTCTATTTCACCCATGTGAATAAGGTAAAGTGTTTAGATTTTTTAATTCGTGAAACAAAATGTCATTTCAAAGCATTCTGTTAAGAGATTCAGAACAAAACAAAACAAAAAACAACTATATATTTTGAGATTTTAAGTACATAGGATATATTGATGATTTGCATAAATACACAGGAAAGCAAACTGAAAGAACTAAGATTTTACAAAGAAATCCTTTCACGAAATATAAGTATACTCAAATTCACGTACATTAAAAAACTGGAAGCATGATAAATAAACTTTTGAATAAATGAATAAATGTAAACAAGATAATTTCTTTCACCAGATTATCCAGACCTGCGGCACCGTCTTCCTTTCGATTATCCTGGCCGTGTTGCTCTCGCTCACGGCAGAGGTTCCTATCTTGGGTCTCGAGAAAATTATATTCAAGCGACCAGGTGAGTCGTGGGTGTCATTACCACCCTTTGATTATCATTTGAAAGCTGACTTCATAATCCTTTTTTTTCTATAATTCGTCTGTTAATTTAAAGGAATCCACATCTCTTTGGCATCTTTTAAAGCTGACTTTCATAACTTTTTTTCTATAATTCGTCTGTTAATTTAAAGGAATCCACATCTCTTTGGCATCTTTTTAAAGCTGACTTCATAACCTTTTTTTCTATAATTCGTCTGTTAATTTTAAAGGAATCCACATCTCTTTGGCATCTTTTTAAAGCTGACTTCATAACCTTTTTTCTATAATTCGTCTGTTAATTTAAAGGAATCCACATCTCTTTGGCATCTTTTTAAAGCTGACTTCATAACCTTTTTTTTCTATAATTCGTCTGTTAATTTAAAGGAATCCCACATCTCTTTGGCATCTTTTTTAAAGCTGACTTCATAAACCTTTTTTTCTATAATTCGTCTGTTAATTTAAAGGAATCCACATCTCTTTGGCATCTTTTTAAAGCTGACTTCATAACCTTTTTTTTCTATAATTCGTCTGTTAATTTAAAGGAATCCACATCTCTTTGGCATCTTTTTAAAGCTGACTTCATAACCTTTTTTTTCTATAATTCGTCTGTTAATTTAAAGGAATCCACATCTCTTTGGCATCTTTTTAAAGCTGACTTCATAACCTTTTTTTTCTATAATTCGTCTGTTAATTAAAAGGAATCCACATCTCTTTGGCATCTTTTTAAAGCTGACTTCATACATCTCTTTGCATGCTGTTTTTGCCCGGAGTCCTCGAGCTATAACTCTCCTCGATTCCTCCGCCACAGGTCGAGGGAATGACAACCCGAAAACTACAACTCCCACCGAAAAGCAAGGTCAGGATAACCTCGCTTTCTCCGGAGAAATGGACGAGAAAGGTGACCTCGCGAAGAAGGAGGAGGTCCGGCAGAACGGTGACCTCGACATCCCAGACGCCATACTCGGAGAAAGAACAAACGACTGAACTTTAGTTTTTGTTAAAGAGAGAAAGAAAAATGCTATTAAATTGTACGATACGTTCTTCTGCTCTGTTTGATTTGTACTTAATTTATCCACTAATTTCAACTCCTGTGATAGGTATACACGATACGTAAAAGTTCTGATTTTCTTCGCAGTTTCATAAATCGAAAACCGATTTTTTTTGTTCTCAGATAGAATATGACATACTTCAATAAAATTTTTTTTTACTGTGTAATCTTTCGTTTGAATATGCAGTGTCAAATATTATCAGATGTTTTATACTTAGTATATATACACAATAGATTTGATAGATATAGTTGTGTGTGTGCGTGCATGTATATATTTTATTTTAGTATATAACATATATATATACATGCAACTATTTGTATATATGTATATATATATATATATATGTATATAATATATTATATATATATTATTATATATTATTATATGCCACACAGGCCACCAGTGAATATTATTTAATATTTAACTTTTGGGGCTCTCATGGCATCACATAACTCAACTAAATTTCTTACACCAACATCGCCAAGCATTCCCTACACGAGAAAGTGATTAAAGTAGGTTCGGGCCCTTTTCATGGCATGGTAAGCCTAACCTACAAATGTTAAAAACATGGTCATGTTGGCAAGAGCGAGGACATGGAGGGCCGCTTCATATGCAAAGTAGTGGGGAGGGCAGATGTAAGGCTTAGAGTGTTATATATGCATAGTCATATACATAGGGTATTTATGTGTGTGCGTGTGTGTGTGTGTGGTGTGCGTGTGTGTGTGTGTGTGTGTGCTGTTGTGCGTGTGCGTGTGCGTGTGTGTGCCGCCGGGCGTGTCTATACAGAAAAAGACGATGCTAATTAATTTGTACAGTATTATCTAAATTAGTTTTGCATCCTAATCATTGTCACTTTACTTTTTCCACTATTATTAATCCGCACTTTCATGAATATGTACCTATAGATAGACAGAGAGATACATAGATATATAGATAGACAGAGATACATGAACAGATAGATTGGCAGACAGACAGAGAGATACATGGATAGATAGACAGACAGAGAGATACATGGATAGATAGATAGACAGACAGACAGAGAGATTACATGGATAGATAGACAGACAGACAGAGAAAGGATAAGAAATAGCATTCCAGCCTATTACAGCAAATTCATACACAACGTTCAAACAATGAACATGGTAAGGACTGTAAAAGAACGAATTTTGATTTACACAAGTATGTTCCTAAAAAATAACAGACGTTTTACAGTTTCACTAAATCGCGTTCGGTGGCAGAAGAAAAAATAATAGAAAGTGAAAAATATGTTTAAAAAAAATACAGATTACTTGATATCAGATTTGAAATAGTTCCAACTAGATTTTAAATCGTAATGACTCAATTTCAAATTAGTCTTGCTTGATTATTCTGATTATACAGTACTATTAAATTTGTTTCTATAATTGTCTTTGATTCCGTAGTATTAACACTTATTTCGTTTGGTGAAAACAAGAACCTTGTTACATATTCAAAAAATTATTTTTTTAAATTATTATAAAGTTTTATTAGTTCCTCCTTCTTTCTTCTTTCTTCTCTCTTCTTCTCTTCTTCTCTTCTTCTCTTTCTCTCTCTCTTCTCTCTCTCTCTTCTCTCTCTCTCTTCTCTCTTCTCTCTCTCTCTCTCTCTCTCTCTCTCTCTCTCTCTCTCTCTTCTCTCTCTCTCTCTCTCTTCTCAACTCTCTCTTCTTCTCTCACTCTCTCTATCTATTGCCTATCTACCTGTCCAGTCTGTGTGTCTATTTATTTAATCTGTTTTTCTACCTATCTACATATTTATGCAGTCTATATACTTAAATACCTGCTTTATTTATCCATTGGTCAGTAAGGTGACGTATTTTCCGTGACTTTTTCTCTCTATTCTCTTTTCACACCTACGCTACTTCCCTTCTTTCTTTTATTACTTTTGAGTTTATCAATTTTTTACCGTAATCCTCTCTTTCAGTCTCTTCCTATGTCTTCGTCTTTATTTCTATTTACACAAAATCTATTCCTTTTTTTCGTGTCACTGAATTATAGACCCCTTTAATTTTCATGATTTTTCGCAGATAGTTTCTCTATCGTTTCTCGCTGAGTTTATGCATTCACACTACAGTTTAACATTTCAAACATAAAAGCAAAAGGCCCGGCAAAAAATCATGAAATAAAGGGGGTTCTAAATTCAGTGAACGAAAAAGGAATAGATTTTGGGTGAATATAAATAAGACGAAGAAAACTAGGAGAGACTGAAAGAGAGGTTACGGTAAAAATGATTAAATGCAAGTATAAAAAGAAAGAAGGGAAGTAGCGTTAGGTGTGAATAGAGAGATAGAGAGAAAAGTCACGGAAATACGTC